TACCATGTTTGTTCACGTGGATTTCTTGAAAAAGAGGTTGCAGTGACTTCGGCGATACTTGAGAAATGGTGTGCTGCTCCCTACGTACATGGGAGCTCGCACTTTTCCTGCCAACTATTCACTACTTGGCCCATGTTCCTGCATGATAATTATACGAATGAAGCATCGTCTGCAAATTTCCCAATCACCGCTCGCTCACTTGTAAAATATTTTCGTTGTACTTGTGGATGAAGCGAACATTCTGTTACGGATGTTCCAATTTTTTTGTCTTTTAGGCTTGTTTCAGTGTTGTCTTGTCATTTGTGTCGTAGACAAAAGACGTAGGTGATTACGGAAGTCCAGGTTTTCCTTTCAACATTGACACTAACATAATTTGATACGCGACTTCGTCAGAGAAGCTTTGCTCGTCGAATGGAGTGCGTGTACAGCCTTCAGGACTGGATATCTTGACGCGTTTGCAAGTGGCAACACTCAACAGAGCGGTTGCCGAATCGCAACTGGGAACCACAGGCTATAGTATGGAATATATTCTGGTAATTTGATCAGGTTTCAGCGCTCAACAAACGACCTCTGCCTGCCATGGACTATCGTCGTAGATTCGTTTCAAACGTCTCATACAACCGTCCAGATTTGAAATGGAATGCGATACGTTTCAGCTCTCGTTCAACAGCATAGACCTGTCATGTATTGCTCTGGAAGATCCTTTTCGAAAAGTTGATGAACTGAAATACGAGGACCTTCATGGTCACACCAGGCCGAAGTACGTTTATATCACCTAGAAGTACGTTTATATCACCTAGAAGTACGTTTATATCACCTAGAAGGGCTCACCATGGAGTGGTGCTCTTAAAACCTTGAGTACCAGGATTTAGTTTAGACACCTCAATCTAGTGGAGATACTAGCCCCGTATCCATCTAGCGTTACACTTCACAAAGACGACCGCTCTGTCCTTGTCCAATGCTATCGGAGGACATATTAACAAGTAGACTAGAACAAATTCAATCCATGTCGATCTTGCGAAGACCTTGGCCGTTATCCATCTAATGTTACACGTCATCAAGACCACCCCATAGCAGTCCTTTGTGTGTCGGAAGACATCAAATGAGCGGGCCTAATACATGCGATGAGTCAACACGGTGAGGTTTAGGTCTTTAGGATAGAGTGCGATGCAATGCTGACACCATCACTGGCATGGTGCGATAATTCAATACCATGGATTGGTGATAAACAACATGGTACCTTGTCATCTGCTGCGAGCAGGAAAATTGGCCACCATTGTTTTTGCTTTCTGCTGACCATCCAGTATCCATCCTGTGCCCGTTCGACTGCCGTAGCGTTAAGGAATTACATGTACATGCACATGCAGTCTTTGGGTTAGGTTTGGGTTTTGTAGCATGGTATTGTGCTGCTGAGGTCTGCAGTGTTCGGCCGATCTGCGGTCTCGGCTTCATAGGGAGACCAGATGTTCCTGGGTAGAACTGAAGGGTGTGTGGGGAGGGGGGGGGGGGGAAGGGGTGCAAACTCGCTTGTCTGTGTGGTGTACATGTATGACACGAACTAGGAGGAATAAGGAGTATTAAACACGGCATGTGTGGAGGATGGACAACAACCATGAGTAACACATCACCATTGTGCCAGGTCAGTATGAGCTGGACCAAGTAAGACGCACATTATGGAATGTACGTGTAATCAACGCACCAACCCCTGAGGGACAGAAAGGATCTTGCTATTCTAGATAGACATTCTGATAGTTCAATTTGCAGTTGCGTTCCTTGGTGGAAGTACAACTTCACCTTATTGCGCAATTGTGATACCAAATTATTAGCGTCGATTCAGAGCAATATAATCGGGACGGAATAACTTGCTGTCGATTGCACCCCGTTGCCGGCTTATTTTCCTTCCTGGCTGCCGTTGCTGCCACTGCATATGGCAGAGTACTGGTGTCCAGTCTTCCCTGTTCTGTACATCGTACATGATCGGCCTTCCTCCTACTACTCCTAGCTTGGCTCCTGTCATTCCACGCTCTACGCAGTCACGCTGCAGCTTTGCGACATACTACTAGTGTATCCATTTCTTCCTTCAAGTCGACACCCGGAGAATGTACGCGGCCATACATCATTCACTCCTTACGCTCATTGTGCGAAGTTAATATCGACTCTACGCAACTTACATCATTCCGAGAACCCTACGTTTGTTGTAACCGACAGTAACAATACAGTTGCTGTGCACTTCTCCCATTCTCGATATACTATAGAGATACTTCAACATTATTGTATCCTTGAGATTGCTGCCAGTACTTCACCGAACCAAGGACTGACGAGATTGCGCCATTTTCGCGACATTCACCTACTAACGTCGCGATCATTTCCGCGTGAACTCTCCGTGACACGGTGATAATATTTCGATAGGTCTAACATTGTGCAATTCGCCGCATGCACTGCTTCGGGTGACAGCTTTTCAGGAAATAAGACATACTCGAGAAAATTTGTTCCAGTTCGT